AGCGTGCAAATGCTTTCCATCTGAACACTTAAAACATTCTGTTGTAATCTCTCCAAACTAGATTGGCAGACTCATTTAAAAGTTAATCCTAAACAGAATTCCTTAAGCCAGAAATACTATATTCACCATTTTTTTGAAATAAACTGATGAAGCATACTAAAATGTAATTAAAAGAACTATTCCATTTTATCAGCTATTTAAGGAAAATGTGAGAAAATAAAGTTCTTTACTACTAAGAAATTACTCGTGGGTGCTTGGTGTGAACCCAGTTTGTGCAAATATGGCTCTGTTAGAATCATTAAATCATAGTTGTGGATAGCTATGGCTTCATCCTGTGCTGATTCTGCAAGGTTTAGCTAATAAAAGGTGCCTTCTGAGACATATTTTAATGCATGTGCAAGAGACCCAGAATATACATTGCATTTGCACAAAAAGGGCTCCATAAACCATTTGCCTACAGCCATTTCTCTCACCGCTGTTTCCACATTGGTTGAAACCCTGTTATTATTAATTTCTGGCAGAATTTAAACTTTCCCGGAGTATTTTACTAACTTACTATTTTATCTTTACTGTTCTTGCTTTGTGCTTTATTCTGCCACTGTTCATACTTGCATCACCAATGTTGCATTCTTTTTTTTTACACAGGGGTACAAGGCATTTCAGTTACAGACTGTTAGCATTATATTTAACTGTAGTTTTCTGACATGATTTCTTTTCAATTAGGTGAAAATGAAATCCTTGAGACTCTATACAATATTGCAAGCCAGAACAAGATATGGAGGTCTTATATAGGCATGGGTTATTACAACTGCTCAGTGCCTCACCCCATTGCACGGAATTTGTTGGAGAATGCAGGATGGTAATGTACCACATTTTCTTTTTAAATGCATATGGATAAATATACATTTGAAGTTTGTCTTATGAATGAGCATAGACAAATATATCCCAAACCTATTTTTTTGACTAAAGCTTTCATATATTTGATACTGATGTGTAAGTGTAGGAACTGTGTGGTTCATGCTGAAGCTAGAGAGGAAAAAGAATAATTTTGACTTTAAAAGATGTTTTTTCTGTAAAACATTTGATTTTTGTGACTTCTATTCACAGCTCCTATTTATTATGAACTAAACCAAGAGTAGTTGTTTGCTTTAAGGAAGCATACAGATTTAACTCTTAAACTAAACTTAATTCTTTCCTAACTTCTGTGTAAATTTAAACCAGCTCCCTCCTCCACTGATGTATACAGTTTTGTGTGGAGGTAGTTAAATACTGTGCAGCACTCTGATTATGGTTTTCTTAAGAGGAAGCAAGAAGCCTTGAAAATTTTAAAGGCTTTTCTCTTAGTATTTCTTTCTTGATTTTTTTTTTTTTTTGAAACTGTAGACCTTCAGGAGTTTGAGTATGTAACCATAAAGTATATTCCTGTTGGAACAAGTAATTCACTGATGCCTGAAAACCGGTAGATAGGAATATTTGATAATTGATTTATGAAGAGGCTGAGAATATGGTACTTTGTTCACATAACCAAGCTGATGTTTCATTTTTTTGTGATAAGCAAAAAAATAGCCTGTTTGACAGAGCTGAACTTGAATGTTACTGGTTTGAGTGGGTTTTTAACTGAAATTTAAAAAGGAAAATAATATAATGCATTGATTTATGTCTTATGAAAAGCATTAATATAAATAATAATGGGGTTTTGTCTCTTGATGGACTTTTCCTAACAAAGGCACTAAGGCTTGATTATAAATACTCATGTAGCACTGACATTTCTCTAAAGAACTGTAACTCAGAAATGATGCAACAGAAAAACTAAATTTAATGTCCCTGGTACCCTGCATTGTCTCATTTGGTTTAGAAGTTCCCTTATCTCTAGTCAGTAACATCCTTTTCTTGGTACTGAAGATAATAAATGAGTAATTTTTATGTTAATAAAAACAGTATTTAAGGGTTATATATATACAACCCCAGACAACCAACCAAAGAGTAACATTTGTCAGTGTAAAAAGCCATTGTTACTTAGGTGCTATATTTTTTTGTACTTTGGGTTGTCATAAATGGTTCTATGTGTCTGTAGACCTCCAAGTCTCTGTATTTTTAGACTTGTCTGGTTTATTTGCTTCTCAGACTCTTGAACTGATGAAAAGGTTGGACTCAAGGAATCTATACAGTACATCCGTACAAAGTTTTAGTTGGCCTTATCCCCCCACGCTTTTTGCAACATATGCAATCTAAATATTTAAGTACAGTGCTGCAAAACAAATAATCTGTTGCTAGAGGCAAAAATAAGAACATTTAAAAAGTAAGTGGACCTAAATGAACAGCGTATTTTTAAATCCTAAAGAAAAGTGTAGTATTAATGAAGCATCTGGGAGAATCTATCCAGAAATCTGTTCTTGGAGTTTCCAGTAAGGTAAAACTAGATGGCTAAAAGCTAAACTTTTAGATGGCTAAAGTGAAGGTTGAAATGTTTGTTGGGGAGAGGGTTGTATGTCTTTGTGCATGTCTGTGTGCAAAAGCATGTACAGACATTATGAAAGCTTTTTAAGAAATCAAACCTCTCCTTACATGTGCTCAGTGTGTAACACTTCCCGTGCTCATTGCAGCTCCTGTGCTGCAAGCACAGGCTTATTGTTTCTGATCAGTTCTGCCTCTTTCACATGACTCATAGTTTCTCATTGCTTGATGTTCGTTAGAGCAAGGTTTGCATTGCAATACAACATAAGTTTGTATGAAGATTGTTTGTAGAAGTCTGTGAACATGACAGTGGAGGACTTCCAATACCTGAAGGGTCCTACGGGAAGGCTGGGGAGGGACTTTTTACAAGGGCAGGTAGTGATAGAACAAGGCGTAACAGTTTTTAGCTGAAAGAGGGTAGATTTAGATTAGTTATTAGGAAGAAATTCTTCACTGTGAGGGTGGTCAGACACTGAAAAGGTTGCTGAGAGAAATTGCAGATGTCCCCTCCCTAGAAGTGTTCAAAGCCAGGTTTGAGCATCGTGATATAGTGGAAAGTGTCACTGCTAATGGCTTGGGCATTGGACTATATGATCTTTAAGGTACTTGCAACCCAAACCATTCTTTGATTCTATGATTGTATTCTGAAAATTACTGCATACTGTGCAAAAATGTGATACAAACATCACACAGCTGTTTTGTGCTTGTAGACTGGATGCAGAAAGCTGCACAAGCAACTACAAAGCATGCCAGTAAATTCGGGGCTTATGCTTTGAGTGGAAACTGACAGTGTCTCCTTGTCCTATCATAAATCTATCCAGCTTTCTCAAATCCATGAATAAGAAATTGTTTTAGGAACACCTTTATAAGGCTCTTCAAAGATGCATAAAGTGCCAAGTGATAAATCTGGAACTCTATATACTATATGGCATTTGGGGATTTTACAGGCTGGATGGAACTACTTGCAGTTGGATGACTCCTAATTGTACGGCTTTAGTATCTTTCTACACTGCAGTATTTGTATGTGCATATTTAAAATAAATACAGCTTTTGTTTTGTTTTGTTACAGTTTTGGCCTTAACAGTGATGTCCAGACCATAAAAGTCAGATAATTTAAAATTTCATGTATACATGACTAAACCTTAGTCTTAGTTTTCTAGTGTTGTCAGATGTATGATTTTTTTCTTTCCTGTGGCTCATGTATGTAGGTTTTCGATTTTACTAGTGGGCTGTCCTTACTTTAAATTAATTTCATCTTATTAATTGTCAGGTATCAAAAAGAATACTCTGTATAACTGGAAATGCAAATCAATTCTATCTCATGCTATTGCATGAGACTAGTCTTACAGAGGTCTAAAACTGCAAGAACATAATTTATAACAGGATACAAGTATTATCTTGATTATGAATACATTAACTTTGCAGATATTCAGTCAAAGTATAGAAAAAATCACTAAGGAAGATATATAATGAACTATTTTGCTAGAACTTGCTATATATTAGGAAATAAATTAGGCTTAGTCTTAGATCTTATTGACTGTACACCTACAAATACTAATCAAGAGCTAGTTCATTTAATATTGTTTGATAATGGAGTTTTCTGAATCTTTGTGTGGAAGCAAGAGCTAACCTTAGTGTAAAGAAGCCATAATTCTTAATCTTGCTGTTAATATATTGTCTGTTTGTTTTGGTGCTAAACCTAGAAAAAAACCAACTCTGAACTATGGAAGTTTCTGCTCTTTCATAAGCCAGGTCTTTTCATGAATGACCTAGCTTTTGGCTGAAAGCATGCTTCGTTGATACTTCTTGCTGTGATGCCACGTTTTCTTTTAAAACCTTAATTAGTACCTTACAGTTGGTATTCATACAAGTATTTTTGATGAGGCAAAAGATGGAACACTAAATTGAAGAAGAGTTATAAAAGCTACAAAAACTGAAGCCACTTAGTACCAAACTCCTGAAGGTCAGGCACCGGCTCAAGAAAGGTGCCACAAACTTCTCATAGAAGGATTCTTTTGTTTCATGACCTGTCTACCTTAATTAGCTTGGGAGTGTTTGTCTGCAGAAGTACTTTTGGTCCTACAGATGCTGACTGGAGATCATATTTTCCTCCAGTTTGATTGAACAAGAGGCAGGTGGTCGTTGTGTTCCTTGCCACAATGGTAATTCTTCCTTTTCATTTTAATATTGTTGGTACTGGACTTGAATTATATTCAGAACAGCCACTTGAAAAAAACAAAGCAGAAGAGAGGGGGTTTTGAATGAGATGGTTTTGTGCACTTTTTAGAGATCTGATTTATATAAAAGTTTGCTTTAGAAATTACTCTTACTTTTAAAGAGTTTGCTTTTAAATGACTTTAAAAAGTCACCTAACGTAACAGAGATTAAGGCAGAAGTCAGAGTGCAGACTAAAGCCAGTTATTTTATTTGAAGAAATTGTGGAGAAGTAGAATTATTATATTGAAAGATTTAGATGCTAAGACAGTGCCAAACAACCTTCCAAAAGAAAAAAAAAGTGTTTAGATAAATATTTTTATGTTATAAATGGTGTCTTTACACACACAACTGTTAAACTTCATGCACTGTAATTTGCAGTAATACTGGAATTCAGGATTTCTTGGTTGAGTTTTTTCCATCCTTGCCAAAATTGGTTGGTTTTACTTCAGCTGTTTTTACTATTCAAAAGCATAATTCATTAATTATGTTCTGTAGTATATTGTACTATCCCAGCTATGTGGGGTAGGACTGCAGTTATTCAATTAGCAGCTACTTAGTAGAAGTTTAAGAATAGATTTGTTTTTTATTTTACATAACATAAAAACTTCATTTAAAAATCATTTGAGCATAAACTATGAGTGGAAATTCTTGAGGCTTTTTAAGTAGGATTTTTTAATATCACTTCTGTTAACTGATTTTTTTAGCAAGTAATAACCAAAGAGTCTTGATTTTATTTTTCGTCTCTTGCACCGAGTAATATTTCTCTAATTTCAATTAATCTCAATGCTTTAATTCATATTAGTGTACTTCTAGTTCCTCCTGCAACTTATAATGCAAAAAAGGCCTCTAGCGGAAATAAAATGAGAAAGTTAGATTGTTAACTTCAAAAACAGAGGTGTTTCTTTTATTAAGGGAGACAACTCGTTTATGCAAAGCAGTTGAGAATAACTCTTTTTTATTGGTGAGAACTGAGTGGTCAGGGAGACCATTCAGAAAACAGATCTTTATACTCCCAGATTGAAAGTTCATCTGACAAACTGAAAAGTGGGTTTAGCAGCTGTGGACAAAAAAAAAAAAAAAAAAAAAAAAAATTACTAATGAGATGAGCAATGTTGCATGAAGCCCAGGACATGGTCTTACTTGTAAACTATGCAGTCAAGTATATGGTGATGAGTAGTAGTTAAGTATTAGACTTGGCTAAGAAGCAGGAAAAACATTCAATATTTAGGAAAATAATATTTATCTAATTTGATATATAGCTATTGCTTTCTGTCACTGTACTGAATACTGTATGTGAGAAATTTGAGCAGATGTATAATCTAAATAGACAGTAAATACATTAGCATCATATATTACACTTTGGGTTCACTTATTGGGTATGTCCTTCTTTATAGCTCTTCCATGCTCTTCTTCAGGACATTTCCCTACCTTCTCTCTTGCATTACTATTTTATTGCTCTTCTCATCTTGCTCTATACCACAGATTCTGCAGCTTGTTCTTGAAAAATCTTTGTTGCTCACCTTCTATTGGCTTCACATGACTTGAGCTTCCAAATACTTCAGTCTCTCTTTAAAGATTATACCTTCACCCACAAGCATTTTTCAAAAGTCTAGGGCTTACTACCACCTTTTCAGGAAACAAACTGTTGTTTTCTTCCATAGCTAGAGAACAGAGGCCACGAGTGTTCCTACTTATCACTTGTTTCTGGACACTACTCTGAATTCAAACTAGCATAAAGTACTGAACTTCCCTGAACTACCAAGGAATCCACTACCCAAATTTACAGCAGTGAGAGGAGAGTCTGATCTCTGTTCTTGCCTTTCATCCCTGGACCCCATGCTGCTTTGCTTTTATGAACTGTTATAACAGAGTGTTTGCCTTAGGTTGTTGCCTTATCTAAGACATTGCTTATGTTGCCTCTACTGTTTTGTTCTCCAAATGGCAACGGATAAAACTCACATCAGTCCCACTTCCCTTCACTAACGTATATGGAAACTGTAATTTCACAAGCAGTTGCATATTTCTGAGCTTGATCCTGTTAAATGCTAAGTGTCTTTCCTCCTGTAAGAGTGGAGAAGACATGGCAAGTAAAGGGCTTCTGAAACAGTATTGAAAGACAATGGTAATACCTAGATATGATTGCAAGAAACATTCTTGTTTGGATGTTGTGACTTGACTCAGTTCTCACACACTTAGCCCCTGCTTCCCCTCTCCTTTCCCCAAGACACACTCACACCTCTGTTTTAAAACTAATTTCTCTTTTCTAATGGAAAAATAGAATTCTTCTGTAAAAAGCCAAGCCAATATCAGAAGAGAAAATATTCTCAGGCTTCCAGGACAGTAATAAATTACAACCATCTAAGAACAACTGTTTTCTAACAGACTTTCATGTTAGTGAATTATGCTTTACAATTTATTTTTCCTATGACAGTTCAGTTATGTGTTGGCGTAATTCTGTTACACATTTATTTTCTTAGACTCAAACTCAGAGTTCTTTTCTTACAGGGTTACCCAGTATACTCCTTACCAACCTGAGGTCTCCCAGGGCAGGCTGGAGAGCCTGCTAAATTACCAGACTATGGTGTGCGATATCACAGGAATGGATGTGGCTAATGCATCTTTGCTGGATGAGGGGACAGCTGCTGCAGAAGCCATGCAGTTATGTCACAGGTACTATGTTTAAATATGTGGTTAAATCACAGCAGGAAGGAATTTTGGAGTTTGAAAGACATCTGTCCTGTGTAGGCATAGATAGGTGAGGGTATTTAAGTTGAGTGTGGCCTTCTCACTGTGATCAGATCACTAAACAGTTATAGCCAATGTTATTGTTGGGTGCACGTGCATCAGCCAGCAACTCTTTATATATGACTGGCCCTGTTTACCCCCTCACCACTCTATTTTCTTACACTTGTTCCTCCCAGAACCACTTAGCTGTATCACTTTTCCCCATAACATGTCATAATAAGCCCTTGCAATCTCAAAGTGCTTTTCCCCTGCATCCCATAATGCTTCCCCTCAGGGAGGCCCAGACAGTGTGTTTCTCTGGGTTAATTAATTAATTTGAGTTTCCACCTGCCGTGGGACTTGTCTGCTCCTCTGTGCTTGTGGAGACGAGCTGGTGTCTCCTGTGATGGGCCTGGGAGCAGCAGTGACAGGGTGTTATTTGGGCTCCCCGGCTATTGCTGCTCTGTGGGGGCACAGAGGAGCTTTTATTGCATAACCTAACAGTCTGTGGCATGAATCTCTTGTTTTCCTCGAACACTGAAGATGTGAATTGGTTTCTTCCACTGCTGGTTAAAAGGAGTTTTAAAAACAGGTGAAGTATGTTAATCCTGAGTCACTAAAAGTGAAGCTGTTACTGGTATATCCAAATTTACTTTCAGGGATCTGTATTGTAGGGACATTTGCAAAGGATCTGCAAATAAAATGAAATCTGAGATGATTGAAAGTCTCTTCAGGACTGTGTATCAGGAAGGATATTACCCAGCAGAAACTATGTTGTAACTATTAAGTTGTGCAAAGCATTAGTCTGACATAAAATCATGTTTACCAGAGAAAACTAAGCAATTGTCTTTGTATCCATTTCACTAATTTGATGGCTCATGTTTGTTTTCCAGGGCAACACTGAAAATCTGTGTTAGAGACCATAGTGGTATTCCTTTAAAAGAGTATGTGTGGGTAGAGGCATTCTTGCAGCTTCTTAAGTTGGCTCCTTGTTCTCTTTCATGCTCTGTTTTAATTTTTGTCACGTGTGAATCTCATCTGCGTGTCTGAAATGAACTTTTTTATTTTAAATAGACCAGAACCTTCATTCAATCTTGCACTTCATTTGGTTATGATAACCAAAATTTACAACTGCCTTTTAATGTAGAAAAACTCACATTTAGAAAAAAAATTAATTTTATTTCTATGGAAAATAATACATTCTTTATACGTAACCCTTCTTTTCTTCCTTTTCTTTTTAACAGGCACAACAAAAGAAGGAAGTTTTATGTAGATGCCCGATGCCACCCTCAAACTATAGCAGTGGTCCAAACTAGAGCAAAGTAATGTTTTTCTCCGTTTTCCAGCATAATTTTTCATCTGTGCCTTTTCACCATTTCTGGAATATAGGTTTATGCTATCTTTGCAAAATAAAAGCAGAAATCTGTTAACATTTGACATTACTTCTACTTTTCCATTCAGATACAACTGCAAAGTAATTAAAAATGTTTTAAAAGAGAATAAACATCTGATAAAAAGAAAATCTTCCCCTTAAGTTGTTTGTGCCAATATATAGGTTTGGTTATTTAATTCAGTCTGGTCATTTTTTTTAACTAGGAAATTAATTACTCTAGATAGAAAAACTTGTCTTTTAATGAAAGCTAAATCCATTTGAAGTTTACATATTGAAGTAACTAACTTCTAAAAATATGACTTTGTTCTCAAAGTTAAACATGCTAAAGCAGCAAAATGTTGATAACAAGTAGCTTATGCATCCTCTGCTCTGCTTTGCTCCATGTTTCTGGTAATGATATCAAATGCAATTATTCTTCAGTTCTATATTCCATGAGATGAAACTTCCTCTTTGTTTAGCACTGCAAAGCAGGTTCAGCCCTCTGTATGTTAAAAAAGTCATATATAAGTCCATGAAAACACCACGTTAAGTATAACTCCAAGGCAGGAAGTGGTTTAATTATGTTGTCTTCTTCATGTTTTTGTTTTCCAGTTATACAGGTGTTATTACTGAGCTCAAATTACCCCATGAGATGGATTTCAGTGGAAAGGATGTCAGTGGAGTATTATTTCAGTATCCGGACACTGAAGGCAAAGTGGAAGACTTCTCTGAACTTGTTGAAAGAGCTCATAAAAATGGGGTAAAATAAATTTTATTGGTCTCTCAGATTTCAGTCTAATGCGTGAAGCAGCCATAATCATAGAAACTAAGTGTTACATGAGATACTGCCTAAAGTATTACTCCTCAGTTCCATGCAATTGATAGCTATTACAACCATTGCACCTCAGCTCTGTGCAGATGATACAGAGCCGTTTGAAACTGCATTGTGTTCAAGTTTAGCTCCCACGCAAACACTGTTCCTTCAGAAAAGAGGCTGACTTCTCTGTGCACTTCTATTCTCAGACTCTCGCCTGCTGTGCTACTGATCTTCTGGCTCTCTGTATTCTGAAGCCTCCTGGAGAGTTTGGGGTAGACGTTGTCCTGGGTAACTCACAGAGGTTTGGTGTGCCACTCTGCTATGGGGGACCCCACGCGGCATTCTTTGCTGTCAAGGAGAATCTGGTGAGAATGATGCCGGGCAGAATGGTGGGCGTTACGAGGTAAGGGCTCCTTTTGCCATTAGTGTCTTCAGGGAAAATCAAAATAAAACACATTATGACTATCCTGTGCAGCCTTTATGAATAACAGCTGACCATGGTGTTGTACCAAACACCTTTTTTCTTGAAAACTGGGAGAATAAAAGTTGCCTTCAGTTTTTAGGAAGCAAGCTTAAATAATTGTATTTGTGTGGAATGAAGCTGTGAACTGTCTATAGTGCTTGCCACAATGTGGGATGAAGCAATAACTGAAACAGCAGAGAGGATTAGTTGTGATGGCATGAGGCTTTGCAGGCTAACTTATTCCTCTTGCTCTGTACTGTTACACCTTTTTCTTTGACATCCAGTTATTAAAAACATAAATGGGAAGAAGTAGGAAATTCAGTGAACCTCACAAATAATCGAGAAGGAACTTAAGGTAGTTCACATTTTAGTCAAGCTTAAACAAAACATAGAAATAGTGTGCAGAAACTTGCCTCTAATTCTTGTTACTGGTGAAGTATTTTGAATTTTGACAAGATGTCAAACTGGGACTAGTAGAAGTGCAAAGTAATTGTCACTGGAAAGACTGCATATTTTTGGCACAGAAGCTACTCAGAAGTATTTCAGTAACCAAAATAACTAATGACATTAACAGTTATTAGTAAGCTTGGAAATATTTAATTTGTATAGTAATATTCCTTCAAATATTTTTTAATCATCTTGCTTATTCTAAGGGCATCCTTAGGTTTTACTCATAGTTCTGAAATCTGATCACCAATTCAGATTATGATCACAAGTCTGGTACAACCTTTTACAAAAGAACAGTAATTCTATTTATCAGGGTCACACTACTGCTGCTCTGTGACTGTACATAGTTGAATATTTTTAATCTACTTTCATCTTTCTGCCTCTCAAACAAAGTTGGAAAAGAAAATGTTAAAATGGAAGAAGCTATGGTACTTTATTCAGTTTTCTGCTCTGGATTTTAATCACAGAATCACAGAATGATTCAGGTTGGAAGGGATCTCTGGAGGTCATCTGGTCCAACCTGCTCAGTTAGGGTGACCTAGAGCCAGTAGACTGGGACTGAGTCCAAATGTCTTTTGAAGATCTCCAAGGAAGGAGACTCCACAGTGCCTCTGGGCAACCTGTGCTAGTGCTCAGTCATCCTCACAGTGAAAAAGTGTTTCCTCATGTTCAGGACAAACCTCCTGTGTTTCAGTCTGCACTCAATGCCTCTGGTGCTGTCACTGGGCACTACTGATAAAAGCCTGTCTTCGTCCTCTTTGCACCCTCCCTCAATATTTATATACATTGGTGAGGTCCTCCCTGAGCCTTCTCTTTTCTAGGCTGAACTGTCCCAGCTCTCTCAGCCTTTCCTCATAAGAGAGATGGCCCAGTCCCTTCCACATCTTTGTGGCACTTCACTGGACTCCATACCTATGGAGTACCTTTCCAGTACTTCCGTATCTGTCTTGTACTGAGGAGCTCAAAACTGGACTCAGTACTCCACATGTGGCCTCACAAATGCTGTTGAGAGGGCAAGGATCACCTCCCTTGATTTGCTGGGAAAGCTTTGCCTAATGCAGCCCAGGATACCATTCGCCTTCTTTGCTGAATGGGCACATTGCTGGCTCATGTTCAACTTGGTATCCCCCAGGACCCACTGGGGTCTTCTCTGCTAAGCTGCTTTCCAGCTGGGTGGCCCCTAGCATGTACTGCTGTGTGGGGTTCTTCAGCAGGTGCAGCACTTTGCACTTCCCCTTGTTGAACTTCATGAGTTTCCCGTCAGCCTATTTTTCTAGCCTGTCAAGGTCCCTCTCAATGGACTGGTGATAAACTAAGATGTATAGTCAAAATCCCTAAACAACTGCTAGAATAAAAATTATTTCAATCGCTCATAACTGGTGCGCAAGTACTTAAGGCACTTAGTGTAGCTATTCAAACCCCCACATGTGTTCATGTATATATATTTCTGTGATATGTGTGTACAGAATTTGTCTGTTTCTTTTTGTGGCTGTTCTGAAAGTTTTCATAGTTTTAAAGGATATTAGATTGGCTCTTAACTCTCCACTTTTAACATGTTAGGAACCCTACAAAAGGACCTCTTAAAGGATAGATTGACCAGAGCCCTTTCAGTTATCTCATACAACCTTGTTGGATGGGTTATTTTTATATACAAACTCGACATGCTCTTACTTAACATCATTAGAAAAGATGCTGCTTCTCAGTGTTTGCTGAATTGTTTTTCTGGATTACTGTTCAGTTAAAAAAATTGCAATAATCTGTGGCATTTTAAAGCAAATACCAAGTTCTGATATAGTATGCTTAGAAAACTGCTTAGAAAACACACCCTGTGTGCTTTACCTGATGGGACACATGTGCCAGCCATGATGTGAATAGAAATCTAGAGACTTCAGTCTCACTCTCTTTTTGATATAACAGCTTACACTTGACTTTTACATTTTTTTCTCTCCAGCACCTCTCTGGGGATTGATAACTAGTTTCAGGTTAGCCTGCATAGAGGCCAGTGTCTTAAATTACTGTAGTTTTAGAGTAACAGAAACACTTTTGTTTGTGATTTAGAGATGCAAATGGAAAGGAAGTGTTCCGCCTTGCTTTGCAAACACGGGAGCAGCATATCAGGAGGGATAAGGCAACCAGCAACATCTGCACAGCACAGGTAACTTGTCATGCTTTATTTTCAGCAGTCAAAAGGAACAAGTTAAATCGTAAGTTTATAGTCCTAACATAACAGTAATTTGGGTTAGCTTTACTTTTGAGAGTTTTTACTAGAAAAAATGAAGAACATTGTAATATTTAGGTGTTTTTGCATTTCTTTTAAGTCCTTCGAAAAACTGAACACTGCTTGAAAAGAGGGTATTAATATCTGTTTCCTTTAATAAAGACTTTAGCCCTGAATTAGTGCAGTGTCATGAGTCCATCCATGTCGTAGGATGAATGCCACTGAGCAGTGCTGTGTTAGCTATGAAAGAGAAAAATTTCTTCATAAAATGGAAGGGAATTCTAATCATCTGAAATTGCCCACTCAAAGCAAAAAAAAAAAAAAAAAAAAAAAAAATTAAACTCTAAAACTGATCGTTCAAATTGTCACAACTTATATTTTTGTCTATGTGATTTTAATACAAAAATATTGTATCACCAAAGAGCTATCTTTACAGGAAAATACCATGATTAAGTAAGTAATTATCCAAAATATTTATCTTCAGAATGCCTCTGCAGACTTCCAGCCAGACAAGTTCATAATTTTTCTGCTCCTGTCAATACTTTGCTCATGCTCTTAGTGTTATGTCAGATTTTGAGGAGAGATTATTAATATTAAAATGAGCTTAATTACTTAGGATGCATGTGATATTCCATAGTGTTTTGTACCAGTCCTAAACAATGAGTTTCCTATGAGATGAGCTTTACTTGAGAGTCCTCAAATGTCTTTGTTGCAGTACTCAAGTGTAATCAAGTTTAAGTTAATGTTAATTGCCAGCACGGTTACATTTTAAAGGGCATTGAATTCATAATCAGTGCTTACAGTTTCATAGAAGTATTTTGCCTTTCCCACCTTGTGGTGGGAAAGGCAAAATTACGTGTTGGTGACACATAATCAAGTATAATATCAGCTAAGGATATGTGGTGGTCCTTGGGTGCTAAAGAAACTTTCCACTAAACTAACATGAAGCAATCTTTGGTGGTGGTGGTGATGATGATGATAATAGTAATAATAATAATAATAATGTCCTAAACTGTATTTGGATCCTAGGCTCTTCTGGCTAACATGGCAGCCATGTTTGGTGTATACCATGGGTCTGATGGATTAAGGCATATTGCAAGACGGGTACACAATGCTACGCTAATCTTGGCTGAGGGTGAGTATTAAATGTCCTGTTCTTAAATGTTTACACTTTCTTAAATAATACATCTTCTTAAATAAACTTAACAGGTTTTTTTGCCAGCTCACGGGTGTTCTTTCAACTCCAAAGAGAGAGTTTTAATACAAAATTCACAGCTAATGTTTTTGTGTACTTCTGACAATAACACACAAGAATTGGATATCTATGATATGAGCTTGCAAGCATTACTTCTGTTTCCTTGGGAAACTAGCAGAAGTCTACACAGCGAGTCTCTAGATGATAAGATTCAAATGCTGTTTTCCAGCTGCCAGCTCTATAGTTCACTTACTGGACCATCCTAGTTTACACACAGAAAACTGCACAGAGTATTAATAACATAGCAAAAAGAAGTAATAAATGAGATTAAAGAAATTGAACATTTCAGTTAAGTTGTGTGGAGTGTCATACCTGCTATGAAGACTGAAATCCTAAAGCTTAACAGCTGAACGAAAGCACAGAGTTTGTAGCAGAAAATGGTGATTGCTGCTGGACTATGTGGTCTGATAGGTTTTTTTTCCACTGGCATGACTATCATTGCTGTCAGAATGAGCTATGCAGAACTGGAATGCTGGGAATTGAGGAATGATTGCCACAATTATCCATGCTTTATTTGCCAGCTTAGCTGGAAGACCTTTTGCTGCTGTGAAAAGCACTTAAGACTCTGTTATGTCAAGCTCTATGACAATTAATATAAATTTATATAATAAAATTTTTCTTTCCAGTCTTGTGATTTTATCCTTACTGCATTCCTATACCAGTTCTGCTACTGTATATATTACAAATTTGGTGTATCAGAAATATCTTCCCTAGACTCAAATCTGCATTATTAATTAGATCTTACTCTGATTTAGATGCATTTCCTGCATGGTGACATTTCACTAAAAAGGCGGTGGTTTTGCTGCTCTGTACACAAGGGGAATATTTTGCTTTATTATGTAAAAGCATATACTTACAAGATTGATAGTGCTGTTATGCAAGTACTGTGTAAGCAAGCAATAGAACTAACTTGCTTACACAGTACTTGCGTAACAGTATGCAGCTAATAGAATTAACTTGCTGTTTTTTCTAGGTCTCAGGCGAGCTGGTCATAAGCTACATCATGATCTGTTCTTTGATACCTTGACGATCACATGTGGATGCTCAGTCAAAGAGGTTTTGGACAGGGCAGCTCTTAGAAAGATCAATTTTCGGATTTACAGTGATGGCAGAGTAAGCAACTTCCTAAACCTTTCAGAAATTTTGTAGCATGACTTTTTCTGCATTAAGATTCTGGTCATTACATGTGCTAAACAGAACAAAATTATTTAAGATTCTTGTAATTTGCTCAGATAGATCAGTTAATTATAAAGATAATACAGAGAATGAAGTTGTAAAAGGTGATGAACTGAACTTCCAGAAATAATAATTGTATTTTCATTTTATGCCTATTTCAAAAGATCATCTAGTTGTTTCATGTTCAATATGTCACTAAGGGCTAGACTGGAGACACTTTAAAACTTAATAATGAAATGCAAGGTGACCTCCAGAATTCAGGTCCTGTGGCACTGTTTAAAGACAGGTTGAAATCTAAATGACATTTTAGTAGGCACTAAGGACTTTTGGCAAAGTCTTAATATGTTCTGTGAAATGAGATGGGGGTGAGTGGGTCATCTAGCAACATGGGCCATTTTCTTATTAAATGGAAAACACCTAGAAAAGTTAGAAGTGAGGTTACAATTCTTGAAGCTTGTGAGCCGTCTGGCTTGAATGGTTTAGCAGGGGAAAGGTACGAATTGGAAAATTTTCTGTAAATAAAATAAATATATGTATTTATTACATAAATTTAAGTGACATTTACATATGGTTGGATAGGTTGATTTTTTTCTATTTAATAGACTATGCCACTGGAATTAAGAGCTTTGAGTAATTTCTGTTGCTTTTATCCCTAGCTTGGAGTATCGCTTGATGAAACTGTAAATGAGAAAGACCTAGATGACATATTATGGATTTTTGGTTGTGAGTCTTCAGCTGTAAGTATGCAATAGATCATACAGATTAAATTATCTGAGTGTTTCAGAAGTTTAGTGTAATGCAAAACTGCTTTTGGGAGAGCAGGTGTCTATATGACGACCCTTTATTGAATACTGAGAGTTTCAAACTCTCTCTTAAAGAAGGAGGCAATATGAGGTAGCAATGATTTATGTAACTGAGTAACGCCATTTTCTGATTCTGATGCTTAGTGCTTTCAGTCAGCTTGGACACCTTGAGTTTAGGCTGTTACTTGTTTTGTGAGGGTTAGGACATGGTGCTCAATTAAATTTCTCTCCCACTGGAATTTTTGTTGCCTGTCATTAGTAATTAGCAGCAATATTTCCAAGACGAGGACTACTGAGACATCTGTACCTATTTTAATATAGTGCTGTTGTCATGCTGGATATATACAGGTATGTATGTAAATAAAGTTGGGTTGGTTTTTTTTTACCTAAAAAGCTAATTTAATCTTGAGGTAAGTTGGTAGTATAAGCTAGTTCTGATGGAAATTGACTGTGAAAAGAGAAATTTCCATAAAAGTATTTGACTCCATGTTTCTTTGTGTCACAGGAGCTAATTGCTGAGGGTATGGGCGAGGAAACCAAAGGCATCCTTAGCACCCCATTTAAGAGAACTTCTAAATTCTTGACACATCAGGTTTTCAACAGGTTTGTGAAGTTGCTGTATGTCTTATATTTTAATGGAATCCGACAGTGTCTCCTTTCAAAAGCGTTGCTGGAATCAGTTGAGAACAGTTTTGTAGCTGTATTCCCAGTCACTTGTACTCTGAAATAATCTATTTAATAGCATTTTTAGATATCTTTCATGTTTTAAATGAGGAAAGCAATACTCATTGTCACATGAAGGATGTGTTTTTCCATTTTCTGCTACATTGTACAAGCTATTATTTGAGGACGAAGTATCAGCAGACTTACTAGAGCCCTTATATTCTATATTTACTGATAGCATTTCTGAGTGAATGATAATAGACATTTTTAATCCACGTTGCTATTAGCAAGCATAAAGTAACAATTTGCAAAGAAGTGCCTGGTATACATTAAAAATTATCCTAAGTCTTAATTATTTTTTATGGCTTTTCCTAGGTTAGAGCGTAGATCAACCAGCTGATATAGCTAATATGCTTGCCTTAACACCACACTTTTTGTTCTCCAGCTATCACTCTGAGACAAAAATTGTGCGGTACATGAAAAGATTAGAAAACAAAGATATTTCCCTTGTTCACAGCATGATTCCCTTGGTACGTATTTACCAAAAAGAGAAAAAGATAGGTACTTGCATACATATGTCAATAAATACTGACAAATATGTTTGTATTTTTAGGGGTCCTGCACAATGAAGCTCAATAGTTCAGCTGAACTTACAGTAAGTTGCAATAATACTGTCTTACTTGAGATTCACATGAGTAAATTACCTAGCCAGTGTCATTGTAGGGAAGTAACGACTGCTTTTGGTCTAGTCGTCTGGCTGAAGAGGCAATTTCAGAAGCAGCTAAAGTCATCAGCTCCCTTTTCCTCTAGGAAAAAAGCTCTGAAAAGCACGCAGGAGTGCAACAACAGCAGGAGAGTGAGAGACTTTGAGGACTCCATTCTGAAAAAAATAATGAAAATAATTTTTGGAATTAAGTATCATAGTCCTGTTCCCTCATGTGGTGTTGCAGTACTTAACTTCTGTCTGCTTTTACAGTGAAAGTCTCAGAAATATGGAAAGAATCAAGTGGGACTGGCAATTCACATTTCTTTGTCAGTTTGCTATTTCTTAGGATAGCACTCCTTTTCCCCAGGTGAGGAGCTGGAGTTCCTGGATATCATCATTTTTTCTAGCTAGTAGTAAGTGAAGCAGAGCCTTAGCCAGGCTGTTTGGATACTGAATGACTTTTTGACTCTGAATGAACTTCCTCTGCTCTCTCTCTGTTGGCTTCTCGCTTTGATCTTTCACTAGGTTTCCTTTGTCCTCTTTCACTCACTGCCTTCTCTGTGTCTTCTCTTCACTGGTTCCTGTCTTGTATATTCCCTTGTAGCTAAAATAGATAGCAGCAAAACTGTGTGAAACAAACTGAGTTTTATGTACCATTCCACACGACTCCTCTCTGTTTGCCCTGTGATCCCACAGCTCTACATATGGGTAGGTGACCTAGAAGGAGAAACTGAGGATTTTTAAGCATCTTCTGAATGTAAAAAAAATGTTACTGGAAATCACAGAACCATAGAAGAGGGGTTGGACAAGAATAGAAGCAGGTTGGACAGGACCTTTAATATCACTGGGTCCAACCATTAACATAATACTGCCAAGTCCACCACTAAACCATGTCCAAGCAAAGAGTATGCTCATCAAAGCCATGAGCTGCCAGTTTCTGCAGGAGAATGCTGTGGGAAACAGTGTCAAAGGCTTTACTAAAGTCTAGGTAGACAACATCCACAGCCTTTCCCTCATCCACTAAGTGGGTCACCTTGTCATAGAAGGAGATCAGGTTAGTCAAGCAGGACCTGCCTTTCATAAACCCATGCTGACTGGACCTTGTCACCTGGTTGTCCTGTACGTGCTGCATTCAAGATTATCTGCTCCATGACCTTCCCCAGCACCGAGGTCAGACTGACAGGCCTGTAATTCCCTGGATCATCCTTCCAGCTCTTGTATGTGGGTGTCACATTTGCTAACCTCTGCTCCACTGGGACCTCCCTGGTTAGCAAGAGGATGGAATGATGGAAAGTGTCTTGGTGAGCACTTCTGTCAGCTCCCTCAGTACCCTTGAGTGGACACCATCCAACTCCATAGACTTGTGTGTGTCTAAGTTGTGTAGCAGGTTGCTGACCATTTTCCCTTGGATTATGGGGGCTTCATTTTACTCCCTGACCCTGTCTTCCAGTTCAGGAGGCTGCGTACCCAGAGAACAATTGATAGTACTTCCAGTGACTGAAGCACAGAATCCATGAAGTACCTCAGCATTTCCCCATCCTTTGTCGCTGTTTCCCCCCACATGCACTGAAGGATGAAGATTCTCCTTAGCCCTCCTTTTTCTGCTAATGTATTTATAGAATCATTTTTATTGCCTCTTGTGGCAGTAGCCAGATTAAGTTCTAGTTGGGCTTTGGCCCTTCTAATTTTCTTGCTGCATACCCTTACGACATTGTTACAGTCCTCCTGAGTTGCCTGTCCCTTCTTCCAGAGGTCATAAACTCTCCTTTTTTTCCCAAGTTTCAGCCAAAGCTCACTGTTCAGCCAGGCCGCATCCTACAATGAGGCTGTCCCTTGTAGAGTTTGACAACGAAGCAGAGTTGTCTCCAGAATATTTTGTTACAGCACATGCTTTTTTTTTTTTTAATAGCCTATTTCATGGAAAGAATTTGCCAACATCCACCCTTTTGTGCCCCTGGATCAAGCTCAAGGGTATCAGCAGCTTTTCAAGGATTTAGAGAAGGACCTATGTGAGATAACTGGCTATGACAAAATCTCCTTCCAACCAAACAGGTAGGAATTTTTTTTCTGAACATTTGCTCCTTAACATGATTCCAAATACTTACCTCTAAAGAAAATGTGCAAGGGAAAAATGGAAGAAGTTTCTAAAATTAAATTTGACAAAGAGAAGCCTTGAATGCAAGGTTATGAAAATGAGATTTGTTTTTTCAAAACTGCAGAACCTTATTTTGCCTAATCTCTTCTAAAAGGTGAATGATTTGTTCTTTTCTGTTCTTTTAATCTTTTTACCATGTTTTCTTCTCTGTGAAAGCTGGTTTCTCCATCATTGCTTGCTTAAAATGGTCATGTTAATGATATCCCCCTATAAGCTAAAATTAAAGATTTGAAATAAGCTGTATGAGCTGACAAGTATGTAGTTGCTGAAACCCATATTTGATGTGCTAGGCAGTACAAGATTTGACTGAAGAATGCTTAGGATCTGCACGCTCACTGAAATAAATAAAGCAGAGCTGAATGGGTACTGCTGCAGCCTGTTTATGGCCATTAGTAGTTTTGATACAAAGGAGCAGCAAGGACTTACTCTGCACTTTGGATGTTACTGAAAGAGTAAGATCATGTTTCACTGCATGTACTTTACTATGGATTTCAGTGTTAATTTACCTCTCTGTAGACAACCACACAAACAAGAAAGTGCCAGCTCTCTACTGAAATTTCAAAATTGTCTGGCCCTAATCCTTCTCAATGAAATTTCAGTAGAGAGCTGGCACTTTCTTGTTTGTGTGATTGTGTAACAGGGTTTGTGTTCCTTTTGCAGTGGAGCCCAAGGAGAGTACACAGGCTTGGCTGCAATCAAAGCTTATTTAAATGCAAAAGGAGAACGTCATAGAACTGTAAGTGTCAGCACGTTTGTGGGGAAGAGCTTTGGGTGGGAAGTGGAGAAAGGAGAATTGATTCAGCAGCTAGGACTTGCCTACACAGAAACTAGGTTGTGTATCCTCATCTGTGACAAGCTTTCAGTATTTCCCGATTCCTTCATGGGTACTATCTTAGAAGTCTTTCTTTACAGACAGTGGAACAAGGAAAGTGCAGTCCCTGAAAGGGTGATTGTGCTGGGTCAGGCTGGGATGGAGTTAATTAACTTTCTCCATAGCAGCCCATATAGCGCTGTGCTTTGGATTTGTGGCTAAGGCAGTGTTGATAACACAGGGTTGTTTTGGCTATTGCTGAACAGTGCTTGCACAATGTCAAGGCTTTCTCTCTTTCCCACTCTGCCCTGCCCACCCCCGACCCAGAAGTAACCTGGAGGTGGGTAAGAGGTTGGGAGAGTCACAGCCAGGACAGCTGACTCCAACTGATCAAAGCTCAGGGAAAGGAGAACAAAGTGGGGAAGGTCATGGTTATGGCATTTTTCTTCCCAAGCAGCCATTACATGTACTGAGGCCCTGCTTTCCAGGAAGTGGCTGGACATCTGCCTGACCATGAGAAGTAATCAATGAATTCCTCTTCTTGGTTTGCTTGCACGTGCAGCTTTTGTTTTCCCTATTAAACTGTCATTCTCTCAATCTGTAAGTCTTCTCACCTTGCTTCTATTTTCTCCTTGTCCCATGGGAGATGGGAGTGAGTGAGCAGCTGTGTGGGTGTTGGCCATTGGTCAGGTCAACCCATGACAGCCCTTTTCAGCACCCAGTGTGTGGCTTGAGGTAATGACAGTTTTGATCTGAGCATCTTAATTTGTTAATTGGTAGGCTCCTGTGTGGGTCTTGCTTGCTTTACTGTGTATTAGAGTCTAGGGCTTTTTAATCCTGCTTTTGGCTCTTGCTGTTTGCTCTGCTGCTTATCAATATATTTCACTGTGCTTGGAAACATTTTGATAAAAGCGAAGGCCGTATACCTGCACTGGCATGCAGCCCTGGCTGTGATGCTATTGCTGTGCTGCATGAGCTACCTTGCGGAGAGAACAAGGGATTAAACCTCCCTCTTCTCCTCTGCAGTATATGTGTCCAACTGTGTTGCATGAACTCCTGAGTTTTTTGTACATCTGTATGTAAGATGTTTGATCCTATTATCTAACATTGGCTTGTTGTTGGGTGTGTGGAACCTGGTTTGGTCCTGGTGTAAGAGTAAACAACTTGTTTAGTTGACAGAGGAAAGGTGCCCTGAGGCAGTTGATCCCTGCGTGACAGGGTGTGTAGGCAGATTTGGGCAGGTGCCTAGGACTGTTATCACCTCCTGTAGCCTGGGATTGTACACCTGAGCAGGCATGCAGTCCCATTGAATTGCCACACCACTTGATGGAAGGGTGCCTTGCCTACCCCAATGAGACCCAGCAGCTCCTAGGGCAGTTCTGGGGCTTGGCCTGTGCCTGTTTGGCCTCTGTCTAGCACCATCTTAGCAGCTGGGGTAAATGGGCCTCTACCTCTCAGGACACAGTGGTTGAGACAGGAGTTCAAACCTGAACTACAGCGATTGCCCCAGTAGTAAAAAGGAAGCACTGGCAATGGAGGTTAGTGGGACTGTATCATCAATTAGTAAGGAGGATGAGGACCAGTCTGATCAGGAAGCCAGTCCTTTGGCAAGGAATTTTAAGGAGGGAGTGATAGAAGTTATACAAGACGCAGAAACTACCCCATCCCTACTCCTGAGCAAGCTCCAAGATATGTGGAAAAAATTAAGGCTGCCAGCCAGGCAAGCTTGTTGCTGCCTGGTTATTCAAATGCTGGAATGCTGGAGGTCATAGTCAGGAACTGAGAGTAGGGAAGCCCAGCAGCTGGGATCCCTTTCTAGGGACCAGGGAATCAACAAAGAAATGAAAAGAGAGTTGACAGTCTGCAGCCTATGGAGGAGGTTCCTGTTGAGTGTGAGGTGTCCTCTCAAGCATGATATAGTCAATTACGGAGACAATTGAACCCCTGCTGAGGAAGGTGTTCAGAATCTAAGAGAATTAGCAGTGATGGAGGTGGTCTGCAGTGACCTGGGCAACAAACAGGTCTCCACAGATCTGCATGACATCCAGTACAGGGGGGTTGGACTAGATGACCTTTAAAGGTCCCTTCCAACCCAAAGCATTCTATGATTCTATGTCATAGAAATATGACTGTGGAAAATGTGGAAAATGCATCAGTGTTATATGCCAACTCGCTGGTGATGGTGGACTGGCCACATCTTGAGATAACAGCTGTGGAGAGACTGTCCTGACAGTTCCTGAGTGTTTCAAAGAGGATCCTTCCACTGCTCATCCTCACAGGTAGTTGTCAGGGGTGCCTTGTGGAGTCAGCCTTTCCCTGCCAGCGGGAAAGACACATCACATGGCACCCTCTGGTTCTTCCTGTGTGGCTGGGGTAGAAGAGGGTTAGTGCACTTGCCTGGAAGCTAGAAGCCCAAGTACCTGAACTGTAGGGGAAGATAGCCTCTAAGAAGGCACCAACCAAGAAGGCTGCCACACCAGTTGCTGCAAAGACAGTAGAAAGCAACCAGCAGTCCCCCAGACACAGAATAAGGGCTGCAAATGAGAGTTCTTGTAAACCTGAGAGGTGATACAAGTGTAGTTAACCCCAGAGAGGAATCAGTTCTTACTAGTACACTATGTTTAATAGAATTTTGAATTCTAATTTTCTTTTAAAGAGAGTTGTTTATTGCATTTAATGGCAGGTAGTTGTTGCTGAAAAACTGGAAAATAATATTTTACCTTAGGTGCTTTCTGAACAATCTGTGTTGCCTGTAAGAAAGGCTGTATTTATTGTAGGTTTTAGGTATCAGTTTGATAGGAAGTGAAATAGGTTGAAATACAAATGTGAGAAGTTGGTGGTAGGAGGTTTCATTTTGGACAGCTGATTGCATGTTTGTTATGCAAGAACAGCTAGATTAGCCCAGACCAAAAGTCTGTCAGTCCCAGGATCCAGTCTTACAGTGGTCAGTAGCAGACTGATAGACTGCTCTTACAATGAAGAGTACAAGGACAAAGCAAGTATACAATGATACATACCCAGCACACGGCCCCAGCTTCTACATATCTGTGGTTTGGGAACTTCCCAATCCAAAGGAATCCAAAGGCACTGCTTATGCATTTTTCTACAATTAAATGTGATCACTTGACCTCTTAGGAGGAAACTTCTGATATCTACAGTACAACACAGCTATTTCATTCAAATATTTGTGTTATAATTATACCAAAATGTGGGCTCCACAATTTGTGATTAAATTTGTATGCCTCTCCACTGCTACAACTAAAATCAAATCAAAACAAAACAAAGTCCAAATAATACCTTACTGCACATCTAAAGGTCAGTGCCCTTAGCAGCCAATCAAGAAGGCATGGAAATACAGGAATGGCTGCCAAATAGTTGAATGAAAACTTTGGATTTAGATGTGTTTGACTGAAATCAAAACTCAGTTTGGAACAAAACGTAAATGTTCAGCTTCATGTACAAAAGTTGGAGCCCTCACATCTTAAAAGAGAACTAAGCCCATATATACTGAACCATTTATGGATCTTGATTAAGCTTTAAGCATATAGCTGAAGAAACATTTTAAATTGCTGTGTGATACTTTGACATGCACAAAGCATAGAGCAAGTGACATACGACCAGTTGTAGGGTGCACTTGCAAGGAGCAGTGACTCCTGTGTTCTGTGGCTTCATCACCCATTATCATATAATCATATTTCTTCATAAGAAATGCTTCCTCTTATTTTTTTGAACTTGACATCTTACAATTTCATCTAATACCCTCTCACTCTTGGAAGATGATGAACTTTTCTTCCCTGTTCACAGTTGGCGTATCATGTGTTAATTCTGAGATTTTTATTATATCCTTATCCATCCTCATTTCTTGTCTTCCTAGTTGTATTCCAGTTATTTATCCATCCTTCTCAAAAAAGCCATCTCATAGCTTTAGTTTACACTCAGAGCTTCTGTGTTCCTTTTTCTTTGTTCACTATTTCCTTCTTAGTTTTTAATGCAATTGCTTTTTTCCCCCCAACACTGCAAGATCTTTTGAGTGCCGATAGGTTCACAACTACAATCCCAGTTATGTATTGTTAAGATTTATTTTCTTGTGTAATATTCTAGATCTGTCTGGTCCAGTACTGTGGGTTCTTTTCTGACCTATACAATCAGTTCTTTTAGTGACCTGAGTGATTTTGTATTATCATGGTATTTGGCATTTCACTATATGTCTCCATGGTAAACCAATTATGAGTAAGTTGAAATGCTAGGGAGCCAGCACAGATATTTATAATATTCTGTTAGGGTGACCTTTCTCCACAGTGAAAACTGACTAATTATATTTTTCTTTCCTGTGTTTTCGTGAAATATTTATCCATGTGAACCTTCCTACTTACCCCACTGGAAATTAGTTTACAAACATTTTTGAGAACCACATCAAAAACTTCTTGGAAATCTGAGATCTGTTAGATCTTCCTCTTTCACATACTCATAGAGTTGTCTTTAAATGGTAGGAAAAATTTCCTTAGTGCAGTAATATCCATGTTCTCTGAACCTGATTTATACTAGGCTTTGGACTTATTTGCCTTCTCAAAATGGAAGGGTCATTGTCATGACTTCTTGGGAACTATAACCTCTGTGTGAGAAAGCTACCTGAAATTGAATAGTGAGTGTTGTCTTGTCCTGTCTTTGTTCCTTTGTTGCATCCAGATCACCTCAAACTTCTCAGAAATCAGCCACTCTTTACAACTGCAAGCTTTGTTTTGTGAGTAGTTGTACTCAGTAGGAAGTGAAATTAGGTTGAAATTTTATTCCTTGGACAATTATCTTCTGTGGACATTATCCACATATGCTTTGCTGTTTCTCCTATTTGTGCAAGATCCTTGGGCCTCTGTGAGTATCTGTGTTCCTTCTCTGCTCAGAAATGCCCAGAGGTTGACTGCACAGAAGAGAGAGCCTGTGGGCTGCTTGCTATTACTCACTCTTAACAGATTTCAAATGTTATAGTAAAATCAAGATAGTCTTAGAAAAAAAAGTGTGTGTGGGGGGGAAGAAAATAAGAAAACGCACAAAATATCAACCTTCAACTGAAGTGACCTTTTCTCCTGGGCTGGAGAAGGTAAGTAAATGAGCAGATCAAATGTCTCGCAGTTGGCCTCATTTGGATTTGGTGCCCTCTCATGGAAAATGAGTATTAAGATTAACTGACAGCTTACACCTGTGTGCTTTGTTGCCTGATCAGTAACTTTTGTACCCAGCAGTTGCAGATGCAACCCGGCAAGACTGGGTGGCAGTCTAGGCTCACTTTACATTTCTGCTGTGCAGCTAAAATGACTACAGGTTTGCCACAGCACTACCCATCACTGGGGCTGGGATCCTTTTGTTTCCTTTCAGCACAGCTGCACAGTAAAACATTGACAGTTCACTGCAAGAAGAGCAAATATCCAGGTGCTGAGACAGAGGGGTCACATCCTTGGAATAGCTTTTAAAGTAATTAACAGTTGTCTCAGCATCTCTGTGGAACATGAAGTAGAGACCATTGTGCAGTTTCTCATGAAAATTCCCTTCTGTCAGTTATTTGATGCAGCTAAGTTTGAGTAACTACTTAAAACTTCGTTAAATTAATTCTTCTGAGAAAATAATAGACAAATGTTTCAATAACTTCATTGAACAGAAGCAAAGGATTTTTTTTAAAGAAAGCATATTTATTGCTTTTAGAAGGGGTGGAGTTCTAGCAAATGTCTGGAAGTACCCTGAGCTCGATTTTGCTAACTATCACTAACAGGAACCTACATTTATTTAAGTAGAAGTACTTATCTCTTTTTTTAAAAAAAAGAACAACTGTATAGAGCATGTAAGTAGTTGATTGAAACTTCTTAGGTATAACCAAAATATTTTATGTCTAAATTTTTGGTTTGAATTAAATACAGAAGAAATTGCTTTGGAAGTCAGCTGAAGATGTAGTGAAAAGTTGGAATTAGTTTTTCCTTTCAAGTTGTTGTGCATATGGAGACTGATTACTGTAAAAAAAAAAATTAGTCTTTTAAAAAAAGGGAGGTGAGATGAAAGGATTTAAAATTTGAGTATCTGAGATAATATTCTGGAACTGTAGTCCTAAATATGATTTAAGTGGCACATGGAACTTTATTTTCCTAATGAGTATTTAGATGCTGATAAGTGAATGGATTTTCTTCAAAGAAAATTGAATCATAGAATCATTTGGTTGGAAAAGACCTTTGAGATCATCAAGTCCAACTGTACACATCACTAAACCTTATCTCTGAGCACTGCATCTACCCATCTTTAAATACCTCCAGGGCTGGTGACTCAACCACCTCCCTAGGCAGCCCATTCCAGTGCCTGATAACTCTTTCAGTGAAGAAATTTTTCCTGACATCCAATCTATATCTCCCTTGATGTAACTTGAGGCCATTTCCTCTTGTTCTGTCACTAGTTACCTAAGAGAAAAGACACACACCTGCCTCACTACAATGTCCTTTCAGGTAGTTGTAGACAGTGATAAGGTCTCCCCTCAGTCTCCTTTTCCCTAGGCTAAACAACCCCAGTTCCCTCAGTTGCTTCTCATAAGGCTTGTTCTCCAGACCCTTCACCAGCTTTGTTGCCCATTTTTGCACATGCTCCAGCACCTCCATGTCCTTCTTGTAATGAGGGACCCAAAACTGAACACAGTATTCCAGGTGTGGCCTCACCAATGCTGAGTAGAGGGGAAGGATGACTTCCCTGGTCCTACTGGCCACGCTGTTTCTGATACAAGCCAGGAGGCCATTGGCCTTCTTGTCCCCCTGGGCACACTGCTGGCTCATGGTCAGCTGCCTGTTGGCCGGCACTCCCAGGCCCTTTTCTGCTGGGCAGCTCTCCAGCCACTCCTCCCCAAGCCTGTAGTGTTGCATGGGGTTGTTGTGACCAAAGTGTAGGACCCAGCACTTGGCCTTGTTGAACCTCATAAAGTTTGTTGCAGCCCATTGATCTAACCTGTCCAGGTCCCTCTGTTGAGTTGTGTCCTTACAGTGGCAGTTTGCCAGTAAACGTTCCCTCAGGATCCCTTTTGAAAACTTTGATAATGAGTTGTAGCTCAGCATAGACCAAAATGCGAGATTTTTTTAACTAGTTATACTTTAGGCCCTGGTTCTTTTTCCCTTCTAAGGTTTGCCTTATTCCTAAATCTGCTCATGGTACAAATCCAGCAAGTGCACAAATGGCGGGGATGAAGATTCAGCCAATTGAAGTGGATAAAAATGGCAGCATTGATATCTCCCATTTAAAAGCAATGGTGAGTATTTAATTATCTTTAATTTTCAAGGCAGGAACACTCCTTCTCCTGTACAGGTAAGAGTGTTGGCAGCTGAATCAGATTTTTCTTTGACAGAAAATAGGGCAATAATAGTGCTTGAAAAGGGTAAGTAATTCTTCCCTTTTTTCGTTCGCTCAGACACTAGCCATGCAACACTTGTGAGATTTCCTTTAATTTTAGGATCTTTGGTGCAGGAGTGGCTCAGAGAGTCTTTCTAGACAGTAGACACTCTTACAGCAGACCTTTTTGGTCTACATCTAGTATTTGAAATGAATGAAGCATGTTCATGGGTATGAAGCATTTGAAACTTCACTTTAGCCTTCGCTTAGCAAGCTCAAGCCCACTTCTGCTGGGGAAGGTGTTGCTAGGCAACTTTTTTCACTTTTTTGAGTAGATTGGCTGCAGGTGAATCTGGGGAATCCAAAGGGATTAGCAGCACACATTTCCAAAAATTCATAATTAAGCAGGCTTTTATGGTAGTCATAGAACTGTATTGTTGAAAGTAGGGGGATGGTCATTAGATCACATGACCTTGAAGGCCAGATGTTTCACTTGGCTTGTCTTAAGGTCTCAAAAGTTACTATTAAACATACATCTTTTAATACCGTGCCTTCTTCCCTGATTTAGAGTTCTGATTTATTGAGAAAAAATTCATTTTCCATAGGTATTGCTAAAGGAAAGAGACCAGTGTCTTTTGCTGACTGTAAATGACAGAATACTTGCTGATAGACTTGCTTTTCATGTGTAAAACACTTGACCTTTTTACATTATAAAAATCTTCTGTTTAGGAGCCTCAGTGGCCTTTTTTTTCTCTCTCCTTCCCTGCCACCAGGTGGACAAGCACAAAGAGAATTTGGCAGCCATCATGATCACATACCCTTCCACCAATGGTGTGTTTGAAGAGGAGATCGGAGATGTGTGTGACCTGATTCACAAACATGGAGGCCAGGTTTACTTAGATGGAGCAAATATGAATGCCCAGGTACAAAATCTCCTAGGCATTTTTATTACAACTGGGAGTGTATGTTTCCGTGGAATAAAAATACCACAGCAGTACCCAGTTCAGACCATAACACACCTTCCTCACAAGATAGCACAGTGTGTAGGGGAGGAGGTGAGATTTCCAAGAACAGTAGTAAAAATTAGATGGTGAAAATAATTATCTTTTATCTGATTTTGCCCTGAAATGTGTTGTAAGATGTATGAGTCTGCCTAGTCTTTGTCAAAGACATTCTTTACAAACATGAACAAGACTTCCTAAAGCAAAAATTTGTTTGTATCAATTCTTGTTTGTGATGCATCATGTTAAAGAAAAACAGAAAAACACATAACATCTTTTTCAACCTATTTTTCTTGAATGAAGTAATAGATCTTAAAATGGCATTTAAAGAATATTTTGAGATAGAATATTCCCTTCACAGGTGGGTCTGTGTCGTCCTGGAGATTATGGGTCTGATGTCTCTCACTTAAACCTTCACAAAACCTTTTGCATTCCCCATGGAGGAGGAGGACCTGGAATGGGACCAATTGGAGTGTGGGTATCTCTTTATTAGCCTTTTATTTAAAAAAAAAAAAAAAATCCTGTAGTGAATCTTGGTTGGCAGTTCACTTAAGTACAGAGCCATGAATGGGAGAAGTGTACTTTTGTTTGTAAACTTTTGTCCTTCTCCAGGATAGTCATGTGCTGATCTCATGAATGGCAAAGTTCACTTGTATTCCCAAACTCTGACTTTCATGTTGGCCCTTTAGTGTGTATAGTGGACTTTCCTTAGCAGTCTGTTTTCTGAGTAAATGCAGAAAGGATCTGTGGACTTTGAGGGCTGATGTTGTATGTAATCCAGAATGGTACATGAACTATGTGAATGTATCCTATAGGGCAGTCATATTCCTTTAAAAGAATATGATCTTTCTCTTTTAAAAAAAAATATCATTTTGATTTGGATGGCTGCATGAATATCTTGTGATAGGTTGAAAACTGACTGCCATCCTCCATTGTCACCAGTTATGTCAGTAAACTTTCTGTGGCAGAAGACATATACCAAACTTCTGTGAGGACTGTGTTTGGAAGGAAGGTGAAGAGAAGCTACTGCTGAAACTGTCCAGAAACGGTAACACAGGAACCCACATTTAAGTTCTAAAATCAGTGTTTTTCTTTTAGGAAGAAACATTTGGCTCCCTACTTGCCTACCCACCCTGTCATCAAAATACAGCCGGACAAGGATGCGTGTCCTTTGGGTACTGTCAGTGCTGCACCTTGGGGTTCCAGTGCTATATTGCCAATTTCCTGGGTGTATATCAAGGTGTGTAGGCTTTCATAAGCAATATGAGCTGAGAGCCTGTTCCTGTTACAGCAAGTCTGAGGAACCACATGAACAGGTTTAAGAGCAACTTGTTGTAAGATGTTGACACAGGCTGAAGTGCATATGACTACAGCATAGTGAAAGGTTGTTTGCATCCTTTGAACCTCCTTGTTTTCCAGTAGGACAATGGAACAGTCGATTGCCATCTGTTACAATAAGAAAGGATGGGAGGACAACTGATGTATCTATGCAACCTGTTTAATTCTCCTGTCTCTTGTCTGTAATAATTCTTGAGATATGTAGACACAAGGCAGAAAGCTGCAATCAGACTTGCCCTTCCACAGGCTGTGACATCAAAGTTTCCATGTTTAAAAGCTGCTTGGTAATTACTGTTCTTCCAAGAATATTTTTGGTTCTATGATGCAGTATTGTTATACTTTACCTGTATGTAATATTTAACTTTCCAAAACCTGTTTAATAAGAACTTGAATTCCAGGGATTTTACTGAATTTGAAAACTTAGTTTTGGCTTTGGTTGTATGACAACTTTATTATGATCTATGTAATTTTTTAATGCCTTGCAATTTAGTGATAACCCTGCAAATATTTGGTTACATATATGGAAGTATTCAGCCAACACGTAAGAGAGTAGATTCAAATTCTCTTCTAGAATAGAGTGGGCTGTGACTCTGAGCAACATTTAAAGCTTTCAGTGAGAGAAAGAGTTGAAATAGTGAACATAAGGGCAGTGCCATTCAAAATACTCTGTAGCTTGTTTGATACTCAACTTCTACTCCTGGGGATACTAGCTCTTCTTGAATTCAAAAAGAGTAATATGCAGTGCTTTTCTATGAGCACAGTGTGAAAAATTGTAATAGCAGTATGACTACCTTAGAACTAGCCAGATGTATTAAGGTGCTATTGCCTATTTTGCTTGCCAGGAAAAGAACACACCTAGCTTGCTTGGGAGTGTTTTTAGATCTGTTTCTTCACGTTATTCCTCTTTCAGACAATGGGAGCAAAGGGTCTCAAACATGCTTCTGAGATTGCTATACTAAATGCAAACTACATGGCAAAGAGGCTAGAGAAGCACTACAAAATCCTTTTCAGAGGAGCAAGAGGCAAGTATTGGACAATTTGTTTGTTTTCTTATACAAAACTGACTTTTTTTTCCCCTAGTGTAGAAGTTGGCTTGGTTCTTTTTTAATGCTACATGACAGCTGCAACTCAAACTTCTCTTGATGTTGTTCACAAGGAGAGAAATAACCTGCCACACTGCTTCTGTGGAGGTATTGCAATGAAACCAAGATATTTGGAAATAGAAGAAAAAGCACCTTTTTGTAATTAGATTAAATTATGACAAAAATGGAGTAAACCTTGGCATCAGATTTTTCTCCTTGAAGTCTAGTAGATTAATGAACAGTAGAAAAAGAAGCAACAAAGTTGAGACTTCCAGATCTCCCATAACCAATGGCACAACAACTTAAGAACTGGAACCAAATTTTGGACCTGTACTTAGCCTTGCACACTTTCTCAGGGGAAAAAAAAAAAACCAACAAAACAAACCAAAACTGAATCCAAAACCAAATTTCTCTCATTTCTGCTCCTTATTCTTCTTTGTGAGATTGGGGAGAATCCCCTTGGCAATGCAAAATACTTTAGCTACATTCTAGTTTCCTGCTACAGCTCTCCAGTCTTGCAGCAGGACAGAAGTAATGAATAAGAGGTGAAAGAATTACCTGTTATAGTAGAGTAACTTATCAGAGAATGCTATTTCACTTGTTTAAGCTGAATGGCACCAAAGAACTTTTGAGTACCATATGTATGCTCTTCAGAATATATGTCTTAAATTTAATGGAGTGCACCTTGGCTAAACCTGCAGCTTACATTTTAAGATAATACATTATTTCCTCACAGAAGTGAATGGAAGTTCTAAATTTTGAAGGATTCAGCAAGGAAATGGAACAAGGTTCTCCAGGACGATGGATACAAATTTAAATAACTTATATCTTTAGCCTCTCTATAACACCAGATTTGAGCTTTTCTCTGGTATAACATGAAACAGATTATCTTGTACATGACTAATGCAAGATAGCCTAAGACCCAAGGGGTGTTAGGCCACTGACAAATCCATTTATTTTTCGGAGTATTTGTAAATTATAGGACCTACTCTGACCACCCTTTCCTAGTTCTGATCTTACAAAGGAGGCCTCTTCTTAATGTGATGTGGGACTCAGAGGGTCAGTCTCCAAATACTGAGTTGTATCTCTTACTTGATAATTTCTTACGTTTGAATTTTTGCCCAAGTGGATATTTTTTAATTTGTCTTTTTGCCATGTTCTCCACAAAACTAATCAGAATAGACTGTCTGGTAGATTGCATTAGTCTCCTAGTAAGTAAACATAGTGTACACTTTTTTGTTTACAGGTTATGTAGCCCATGAATTCATTTTGGATACGAGACCTTTCAAAAAAACAGCAAACATTGAAGCTGTAGATCTTGCTAAGAGACTTCAGGATTACGGTAAATCAAATGTCTTTTTTAAAAAATAGCAGCCTAAGTGAGAATGTCCTAAATCTCTTCTAAAAGGAACCAGCAACGTTCTGGTCCTGTGCTTATTGATGGTGAACCTGTCACGATCATTTCAGGTCTCTCCATGTTCATTAAGGGCTTAAAGAGACATTTGCATCAATTAACTTGCAGTAGCTACTTAAAAGCCTGCTGCTATCTCCCCATTTCTGTAAACTGCCCCTTCAAATTTGGGATGACGTGAGTCTTAACCATTGGAGCAAGTGGGTTGGAGCCAAGAGCCTAGTAAGATTCCAACCAAGGAGGGAAAAAAAAGGAAAAGAAAAAGAAAGAAAAACTTTTGAAGTAGGATAACAGGATATAAACACTTCCATCCCGATACAGCTTAGGCAGTTTTGTACACATGCTCTGAAGAATCTGATTGCGGCTACTCTTTGGCTGCCAGACAAGATAACCCATTGAACTACTGGATCCTGTGCAACTGTGCTTCTAACAAATATGCATAAAAGCTGTTAAAAACATAACCAGTAATACCTCATCAGTGAAATAAGCCAAAGCCCAGTTGTGATAACAAAATCCCAGCCGTTTCTGCTTGTAAGTGGGCTGCTGTGGCCTTAAATAGCATGCACCACTTTAGTAGGCTTTTCAGTAGGTATTGGCAGTGAGTTTCATAAATAAGTTTAATAAAGTTTCATCCTCTGCAGCTGAAAGAGAATTGTCACAAGGCTGTAATTAGCAGTAGTGTAGGAAGGGAATAATGAGAGACCACCTTTTATTTTTACCTTGTTTACCAATGCAGAAATCTGCACCTGTCTCACTTTGCCCTTTAGCCTGTCATAAGAAGGTACAGTGATGAAACACTTCTGAAGTGAGAAGCAGAAAGAGAAATAGCCCACGTAAGATGCAATATACTTTGGGCTGAAAAGTAACAAAGCTGAAAGAAAAAGTTTTAAGAGCGTTCAGTTAAATCAGTGTGTAACTCTATCGTAAATAATACAATGGCATTACCCTTCAGTGCTAAATACTGATACCTGAGAAGTCTGTCTTACCTCTACAGTACACTGCCAACATTACCAATGAGTTAAATCCTGTAAAGATTATAGAAGGGGTTGAATTTGTGAATCAGTTGCTAGCTAATGCATGTATTAACTCATAACCTATTGTCAGTGACTGATTTCTTCTTTATCAGGTTTTCATGCTCCAACCATGTCCTGGCCAGTGGCAGGGACGCTTATGATTGAACCAACAGAGTCTGAAGACAAGGCAGAGCTAGACAGATTTTGTGATGCGATGATCAGTATTCGGCAGGAAATTGCTGAAATAGAGGAAGGCAGGATGGACCCCCAAATTAACCCTTTAAAGGTAAGATGGCATGTAGAGCAAGTTACCAGCATCAGCTTAACCCTTGAGACTTACTTGAGACTATGTGAGCCCACTTCCTGGTTTTCAGTACTATCAAAAATAACTGTGTGCAACAGTGCACACATGAACTTCCTGAAATTTGACTTTTTAAGAAACCTTGAGCTTTTTCAAAATTCGAATTTTGACTTTTTCAAGTCAGAAGTCTGGCCTTTGCTGACACAGCAGAAAAAGTTATTTATGCAAGCACATGATCTGTAATTTTCAAGGCTATTTCAGAGTAATGAAGGAGAGGTACTTATTCATCTGGTTTAAGAAGGGAAGTGGAATGACCTTAAATCTAACAGTAAAATAAATATTGAATGAATTACTTCAGCAGCTGCAGCACAAAACTGCTATAGGTTCAAGTTCTGTTCAACTTATGCTGATAAAACAAGGGCAAGTGTAGGGTGTTACAT